AAAACCATTCGTATTATTAAATTCAAAGCTCGAGATTTAATAAAACTAACAAGCTTCGAAAGAAAGTCGTTTTAATGGACATGGGGCTGTTTATTTCTAAACCCAACACTTCAAGTATCTCCTTGAAGCAGCTAGGAGGTGTAGAATTTTATTAAGAGCCGCTCAAAAGGTAAATTGCTTGTCAACGATCTCTTTATAATACGAGCTTTTGCAGCCCTCATCCACAGAACACCTTACCCGACCTGCCTTTCTTTCTCGAGGCCTAATTGACACGATTTTTATAAACTCCCCTCCGGTTACGGAGGGTTAAACCTTCTTTTGTACTGCCGCTAACACTTTCAACTTCAGACCCTTCTGTGAAAAAGTCCCTTTGTAGCTAAAGAGTGCGACGATGTTGGTGCACAATTATGATTTCCATCCTGTGCAAAAATATTCGAACCCCGGCAAAGAAGCTCACGCAAAGACGATACCTCTAGAACCTATGACATTGTTTTGAATTATTGCGAAGAGGAAGCATTGAAATCCCTGGAAAATGTTACAGATCTTAACTTCCATGGTAAAAAGAAGCATACTTACAAATGGAAACCTATTTAATAATCTAGTACCAAATTTGTTTACAACAAATTTTGTTTTGCAAATAAAAATGCATATTTTTGAAACCAATACAAAAAAAATTAACAACCAACGTTCACAAAGGAAGAGGGAAAAATGTAAATAACCAGGAACGAAAGGAATGATCAAAAGGCGATTCGATTTATTTTAAGCCTATTTACCCCAAAGGGGTTGCGTTTTAACGATAACGCCGTTCCCTACCGGTTTTATGGGTTACGAGAACTTCAAATTGAGAGTCACTGACGTAAATATAGGTACAAGGGTGAAAACAGGGTGCGCATTCCAAAGCCTTGGATCTAGGTATCCTCGCGCATTCATTCATAAAAATTCACTCAACCGCGTGGCTACTCCCACCGAGAGAGAATTGGAGGGTTCGTTTCAACCCCGATCACTATGACAGCTCGACAAAGTTAAAGGGTACTGCTTCTCGTCTTTTCAGCTCTCCTCCACAGGAGATTCTCCTTGCTAATGCCATCTTGAGGGGATAAAAAGCTTTCCGTGTGTGTAAAATTTTAACATGAATTTTCAATACAAATAAAGGGGTTCCATAACTTTATTTTATTTTATTTCAAACCCTATCTCCCTTAAACTGGTGTGATGTTAAGCAATTAATGAAAATGAATTGTAAAATAAAGTGATAAAAAACTATATGAAGTTAATTTTCTATCAACACACTTTCAATATTAAAATGGTTATAAACGGTAACAAAATAAACACCGAAAATTATTTATCAGGAAATAGAATTAAATTGTTTTAATACATTATGCACCAAAGGCAGAGGATTTCAAGAAATCTCAAAATGAAAGAATATTATCCCTCAGTATAATGGTTCTCCTTTAAGAAGAATGACTGCTCATAATCGTAATCATAACTGTAACGATCCCCACGGTTCAGTTGGAGGAGATTTTGTCATTAATATTCTAGCGGCGTACGGTGAATTACTCGAAGGTTCGCATCTCGAAACATTAATAAAGAAATCAACAGTGATTTCGAAATGACAATCAACCCTTGCTTTCTCACAGGGAGAGAAAATTATATTTGAATACCGATTGTAATATTTCCTATATTTCAAAATTAATTTTGATGAATGATATCGTTCAATTTTCTATAATTTTTCTAATAAATATATAAATTGCTCATCATTTACTAAAGACTGGTTTCATTCCCAACATCTAATCTAATAAAAGAATTCATCTGATATTTTAATAAAACTCATCTACAAATCAGCTAAATTAAAATAGTCAAGCTTTCAAATTGTATTTAATAACATTGTGATTTATTTTATGAATTTTGACTAAAAACTTAAAAGAAATAAATCGCGGGCAACAACTGTATCAGTGGCACCCTCTCTAGTCTCTTCCCTTAAATTCGTAGCTGGACGCTCTACGTACTGATTTTTCAAATTTTAAACCCATACTTTTTCCATTAATTCAAAGTAACAATAAATTTGATACCTCAATAATAATTGAATGCCTAAATAAAAGTACCTTTACTGCTAAATAAAAAGTACTTTTATATTATCATTTTAGGGATGATTAAAGCTTGCAATAAAAATGTTCTAAATTTCACTTTTTAAATTATAAAAAAAATTACTGATCTTAGTTAAAAAATTGTGTCATTAAATCTTCATTTTTTAGATACCAATTATGCGTTTAGAACACAAGGATCATACTATTACTCTATTTACAATTTCATCGAAGAACATTGTTTCATTCATTAAAAGTAGAATTCTTACAAAAATGTAGAATTCTCTCTTTTAACTTCAACCTTACAACAAATTCGATTTCATCTTATTCACGGTCTTATGAAACCTCTTGGCCTTCTTCTGTTATGCGCATCGGTGGCTAAATAACTAACTTCGGACAACTATCCCAATAGATTATGATGATTGTGGAGGAAAGCTCTGATTTATGCAATTATCATAAATCCAGTTCCGCCTACCGCTTTACGTATGCTCAAGACGCTGTGACCGTGCTTCTATTCATAGGATTTCAATAGCAAATTATTTTCCCATAGAACACGTACAATAGTCTGAATGAAAGAGATCTTTACAGAAATTTAAATAAATGTACTGCCTATAAATTAATCTTTTTATCTGTTGAAAATTGACTATTTTAAATTATATTCATTTTAATTGAATTGATATTATCATTATGCAATTCCAAATAGAGCACAGCAATAATTAGAAAAAAACATTGTTATAGAATAAAACAAATTTATAATAAATACTATTGCTATATAAAGATACCTCATAGATATTTATTTAAATAATTGAATAGTGTGAGAAATATTTAGTATGCCTCGTTCACTAGAGATTTAGATAATCGACGTTTTCAAATATTTACCCTCTGCATTTTGGGAAGTTCTGTGACCGACTTGCAATTTGTCGACAATAGAAGATTCCTACACTTGCCAGCAATCTACCTTATCGATAAACTCCCTGATAACTTTCGTCGGTACCCAGTAGAAAAGACATTCTATCTGAACCACTGTAGATAAAGGTACAGTGATTCATACTGTCGGTAACAGTTAATATAAAAACTTACAATATTATACAAAAAGTTATGTTTCTAATTATTACTATCACAATGTTTCAAAATTAAGATGGTTCAAACACCCGTATCATTCCTTTTTTCGTATACTATTTCATTATCGACTGGCAATCATGAACAGTCACAGCATGTACTATTCATTGATAAGTCAAATGTCCACCCTTGATAAGGTGAACACCCTTGATTTTGTTTTCATCCCATATATATATATATATATATTTAAATAATTAATAGAGTTAGAATTTTTAACAAATTATTTGATTGATGAATTAATAGAATTATATAAATGAAATTAGAACAGAAAGAGTTTCAATACGAACATTTCGTTGTTGAGTGGTGACTTTTATATAACAGAAATTATGGGATAATTAACCGGAAATGTTACTGCATATTACAAGCAATTCTCAACAGAATAGTCTACGAGGTCGTCAGATTTAAGCATTAAACTCTCCAATTACGCGGCTGAAACTTGCGCAAACTTCGTCGACGAATCTCAGTGGGAAAAGGTTTGAAACTCCTCGAGAAACTTTAAAAATCGTTATTTTACAGGGAAGCCAAAGCTTCCCCCTACCGAGTTACGTGAATCCCTCTTTCATGACTCCCTTCCTGATAAAATGGAACGAGAAAAAAAGGAAACAAAAGCATCGACATACAGTAGCGAGGAAAAGTTTTTCGATCAGCCAAAATAGATGTTCTGGTACGTGTTTAGATTTATGTAAAATAGAGCACATTTCTTTATCTAGGACTCTTTCTTACACGTAGAGCAAAGCTCTCATGATGAACACTATTCATCTTCTAATCATCCGTCTAATTTCAATAGAAATTGAAATAAACTGTAAAAAGTATTCACAAGTTTCACGTGAAAATGAAAAAATCTGTTTTGAAATGTTATTTCTTGGGCTCTGTAGAAAGATAAAAAGGCAACTATTCGAAAAGTCGCAACAAAAATGAAATTTACTAACTATTATATTTACTTGGTGGTTACACTCGAATTTTAGCTTACGTTGACGTTTGTAAGAGTAATAACACACTCCCACGTGTCGAATAAATCGATAAAAAAACCACCACGTTAAAGTAAAACGTCAGCAATTTATGCGCTTACAATGGTTCCATTTAACGTTCCTCATCAATCCCATTTTTTTTACGTTCGAAACGTATAGCTACTACCACTCCATACAGTTTCAGCGCGAATTTAATGTTGCAAGTAATTAAAACTCAACAATCTCGATGGTAACAAAACGAAAAAAGATTTTAACAGGTAAACCAAGAACAGTTACAGGAAAAGTATTATCTCACAACATCGACGGCTCGCGTCTGTTTGCCTGTCCGTTTAATTGCTTTTATGCAACACAATGCTGTTACGGTTGTTACAGATTATAAATAAAAGCATATTCAAACCGTATTATCGTTTCATAAACGTATTATTAATTACATTAAATGCAAATGTTTACCAAACATTTATATAGCAAGTATTTTAGTACTATAATAAACAGCAATTTAAAAATAAAGTTGCATCACGAATGTAATATGTAAACTCAAAATACAAATTTCATATTGTTAGTGAATTTAAGTTTAATTCTAATTAAAAAAATTTTTTTAAATTAATACTTTCGTTTTAAATGCTTTAAAAATGAAAAGAACTTGTATTGCAATTACTAAATTTTAGAGCGTTAGCTGTTGTAAATTATTCTAAATAAACAATTAAATGCCTGTTTAATTACTTCGTGGCTTGAAGGAGCGTTAACGCGTAGTAAAAACAGGAAGAAAAATATCAAACAGTTGTGTTTCTGGAAACTGAATAACAACAATAGATTTTTGATAACATGCTTCACTTACCTTTTTCGGTGACGGATGCAACACCGTTACTGGGACCTGTCGAGGGGTTGGAACAAGTGACCTTTGAGTCGAGTCCTTTGTGGCATACAGCGGTAATTTTGTTTCTCTGTTGCTGGGCAACTCCAGTAAATGTTGTATGGAATGATTTTGTCTCTTCTTTGACGCCATTCTACGAAAGAAAAAAAAAAATCATAAACAAACTATTATACTATCACGAATATCGATATTAAATATTAATTACCGCCACAATTGATACTCGGTCGCTGCATTAGTAAACTGCATATCAATATCTAATAGCATAATTACTGTATTAATTATTTATCGCATTAATTGTGTAACAAAATTTACAGTACACCTCAACAGTTAATAATAAAATAAGCCCCTGATAACAATCATAGTCTGCAAAATTTAATAATTATAAATTCTCGTTCGTTGTTTATAATCAGAAATCTATCGACATAGCGGTTTAGATAATTGAATAAATTAATTTCGAATCAGATTAGAAATAATATTTATGAACTCCTTTGTATGAAAAGTTGTCACGCGTCTACAACGAGCGAAAGGGGGTACGAGTAAATTATGAATATTATAATTATGAAGGGTATCCAAATTTCCGTATAACGGCTGTGCGTAGGTCCCTTTTTCCAGCAGCATCGTGAAACTAGATATCGGATAAAACTTTCGCATTTAACTTTTCCGTCCTGCAGGGGAAACAGCCAACAAAGCTCATCATCGGAAACTTTTCCGAGACAAAGAGAGACGAGCCGGCGACAGAGATAGAAGGCGACGCGCGCCGCGACGCTGACCACGATATAAACCTATTCTACACAGCTATCTCTGTATCACGTTTACATCACAATCACGCTTACAGTGTTTGCGTCAGAATATCTATGGTATTTCAGTTTATTCGATAAATTAACCCTACTGTTTTCCTCGAATTTGGCTTGTTATTCCATATATTTACAGAAGCATATAAACAAAACAAATTGTTACGGATGTTTGTTCCCTGAGAAGTCAGTGATAAATAACAATAAATATGTTAGTAAAAATACATCTGTAAAAAATTTAAGCAAAAGAATAAAGTATTTTATATTTTGAATAAAAATGATTTAAAAATGACATAGGTTGCCCAAATGACCAATGTTATTTGGGAACTCGATTATTCATTATTGATCACATATTATGCTACTGTAATTCAATGAAATTAATATTGAATTTCCTATCGAATAGATTATTTAAATAAGCAGCATTGAAGGTGCCATCTGTAAAATAATGCCTGAAACAAGGAAAGAAATAAAGTATAATTTCCATTTTATCTTTTTAACAAAATTTTGGTGATTGTTAAATCAAAATGAAAATTGTAATTTTTGTAATATTAATTAAAAAGAACGTTCGAGTCTCGCGTAAGAAAATAACTTACTTTTGTCGTTATCGTTAGCTATTTTTTAGTTGGAAAACAAGGAAGGATTGTACAATTTTCTCGACGAAGAACAGAAGAAAAAGTATTGCTTTTCAGTAGCTTTAACCATGGACATCGTGGTAGGAATGTGTACGTACGTTTAAACTTGACTGCACGTGCTAGTAGAGAATCGCACGGTAGGGTAGCTCACCCCTGTGGTCGCCACAAAAGTTTCTTCTCATGTGTGTTTACGCACGCGCCCGATCGTGCACACATGCCCGACCAAGTGCACTTATAAAAGCGCACGTTGCCGGTGAACATTACGACCGTGACCTTACCAGTCGAATTGGAAAAACTCGCGGAAGTGTGAAAATAGCTAATTTCAATGTATGTACTCGCAATTGTTTAATGTGCACGCTCAGAACTGTATCAGACATTGTATGCGAGCATCGTGGAAAAATGATCTAAAATCAATTTTTGTGATCTTATGATTTTTATAAAAGAAAAATCTAATTTCTATACAATTTTTTAAAGAAAGAATGCACCTTCTTTCCCTCCATTTTTCAAATATAATTTACAGAAAAGTATTATAAAATATGTATTAAAAAATAATTTCTGATATTTTTTCAATTAATTTTTATATACACGAGGTAATGTATGAAAGTACTAGTGCTTGGAAGAACAAAAAGGATGTATAATACTTAACAAACGACTGCATTTAATTCTGAATTGTATACTTTCCATCATGAATTAATTCCACAAATGTTCTAAATCTGAAAATCTGAAAAAGAGACATTCGAGCAACACTGGGTGATAAGTAACATGCAACTCGTTACGAAAGCTGTCTGTGCAACTCATTGCAATCAACTAAAGTGAAAAAATGTGCGTTCAGTATGATATAGCAGATAATGAAATAATGTAATATCGAATTAAAAAGTAAGTTTCAAAATGTTAATTTCCTTCATTTTATGTCAGGAAAATATCTGTCGCTGACTAACTATGCTAAAAAGATAATAAATTTATTTGATATCATGTACTGAAAATATTTATGCAACAATAAAAATCTTGAATAAAAAGTTTCTTTAATCTCTATGCAGGGTAAACCTCCTAACGTTATTACCTTAATTATCTCCGTTATTTGTAGAGATATAAAAAAGTTTATTCAGAAAAGTTTCACGGTATCGAAGGGGCCATAACACAGCAATAAAAATTTTGTTTATAGGTGTAGGATCTTCGGAGATTTCAAGGGCAACTCCCTTTTTTAATGGAACTACATTATTATTATTTTTTTTTAGAAGATTGATAATCAAAAATAATTAATTATAATATCAATAGTATTAAGCGTTTCATATTTGACACTGTACCTTGATATTTTTTGACACAAAATATTTCAAGTACTTAATTTATATTTTTGAAAATATGTTGTTCCATGTAAAAAAAAATACAAATTGTTGCTGCTATGTTATAACACCTTCGATATCGTATAACATTCTACAAATCTATTTCAATCAATACCTTTAAAACTAATGCAATTACCTAAGGAAGTATATGCAATTAAATATAAATTTATACATTTCGTATAGAATACTGATGGAATGAATATTGATTTTAGTTATTTCAGTGCTAATGTATGAGAACAAACTATACTCCACCATTTTTTCCTAGAAAAATTCTCCATCACTTACTATTAAAATTTTCTTTTCTTTTAAATGTTAGTGCTTTAGACAAAGTATTAATGTACCACATATTTATTTTAATTAAAAACCTAACCCAAATCTATTACTAATCTAGCCCCAATCATAGAATGAATCAGCCCCTATATAAAAAGGCTGCAACAACCTATAAATTAATCCAAGTTAGATTTGGGTTAGATTTTGATTAGATTTGTACATATGAAATTTAGTTACATTTGATACTGAGAGCAGTTTTATCTGTTAACCAATTTTACTGAACCAACGTTTCACCTTAACTTAATTCTATTAAACACTTTATCAAGTTGTACTGTAAATTTTCTCTTACACAGATTTAATGAAACGAAAAAATTTTATATTTTTGTAGACATTTCAATGAAGTGCTCTTCATTGTTGAATGTACGATAAATGAACACGGAAATCAAATCATTAAAACCTTTTAATATTGTAAAATATTTTACTTTAAATGATATTTCTTTCGCGAAAATAATTTTTATACCGTTCACCAGAAGCAGTAATATAATATGGTAGAAACATTTTAATTTTAATCGAACTGACGTGACAATAGAACTTAAAATTTCATGTGTTCAAAGGTATTATTCCAAAATTTTAGATATTTACTGTTTCTAACTATAAATGCAGTGCCCCTACCTACCCCCTTGCTGTTTTTTCCTAACTTTCTTCAAACAATTTATAGCAAATTTAAAGAATATGTTTTTATGAGTTTTCTTTTAATTTTATTCAACTTGGAATACTGAAATTAAATGAAGAATTACTGCAACGATCACTTTTAAGGGAAGTTCCCCCCCTAAACGGTTATCCTATTGGTCGCCTTTTACGACGGGCAGGATTTACCCTGGGCCTATTCTTATACCCCCGAGCCCAGAGGGGGTTATTATTATTATACATAAATTAAAAATATATGATAGTTATGTCAACAGACTAAAATAAAAACAACAAAATGAAACAGTTTATAAATTTTATATTAAATTACTGGTATAGCTGTATATACCTGGCCGGTAACTTTTGCAAACCCTTGATACAATCTACCTCTCCGTTTAATTTTATCCTTGCAAGATCGTTTTTTTATTTCATTTTCCTGTAGCACATTGTTTCATTAACCGTGAACGTTAAAAGCTACATCACGTGTTTCATGAAAATTAATATTAACTTTGATTACGTTCTCCCCTGACGAGCGTATGTTATTAATTGCAGTAATTTATACAAATTCATGATTATAACAATATGATAACACTCTGCTGATACTTTTATCGTGCAACTAATGTCAGATGTTTTGGTAACTTTTCTGTGAATCGATAAAAAAATTTGGGTCGTACGAAATTAATGATGCTGCAGCTACTAGCTGAAAAGCTCTGCAATTGCTTGGAAATTACATGAAAGCGAAGTATTTCGCAATATTGGCTAAAACGTTAGCGATTCAATTCGAATGACTTGTTTCTCCTGCCGCGGTAATATGTGTGTGTTTTCCATGTTCATTCTTCGAAATCGCAATAACAGATAAGCGATTGTATACAATCGTTACAATACTATTAATCTGTATATTTCATGATTGACATTTCGAACATTTAATAAAAATGATGCATCTAGTGTTGCTTAATTAAAAACGTATATGTATAATAACTAAAATAAAATTAACATCTATGATCTAATAATTATTCGAGTCTGATAGAAAATTACAAGATTTGTTATATTATTGTATAACAATTAAAAGACTTGAATTATAGAATAGGCTCGGTCAATAATAACAAGTGAAACATTTTAAAACATCACAGACACACAAGTGATGGTTATAGGATGAAAAATAACAATGAAAAAAACATGAATCAATGCTGTAGAAGTCCAGACATCTACAGTAGACATGCTATTAATCTGTAGTAGACATGTGCAGTGAACAAATCTTGATAATTTAAATTGTAGAATAAATGTTTCCTTTGTGTTCTTTCTTTCCTTCAATTTTTGACTTAGTCTCTTTAAATTAATTAGCAATTTTAAGCATTTTATCGGTGAAGATGAATAACTCATTTTATTTCTAAATAATTCGACCTATTTATTTTTGAGTTTTTAAATTAAAATTGTATTGCGATCGAATCTATACAGTGTTACAATCCCCAGCACAACGGTGTTACAATCCCCAGCACAACGGTGTTACAACGAACCGAGGATAAGGGTCAATTATACCATTTCCTTTCGTTTTTATTTTTCATTCGTTTCAATTTTGTTCATTGCAAAACTAAAATATTATCCAAAGTCGTTCAAAGTATAAATTGTTACTTTCAACTGCAGTATATCCTAACTCGAAGAAACTTACAGATTCCTTACTCATCTAGTTGGCATACGCCAGTGTAGTAATAAGGTCATTGCCATTAAATCGTTCGTTAGATGACAGTACAATAAAAGTAAGAGAAAGAAAGTTCGAAAAAGAATAGAAGAAGAGGTGGAAGATGAAGAGGAAGAAGAAGAAGAAGAAGAAGAAGAAGAAGAAGAAGAAGAAGAAGAAGAGGTGGCGGAAGGTACGTATTTCAGTCATCCGGCCAACTTTTGCAAGTTTAATGCCCGAGCGCTCGAGTAATTTAACATGACGAAATTAACTTTTCAGTTTTACCAAAGTTTCCTGGCAACTTAACCACGTTTCTACGTCCCTCCCTAGCGTATCGCTTCTTCTCTCTCCTTCTGGCTTCTCCTTCGGCCCACTCCACCTCACGAACACGAACAGCCAAGAGCAACTTTTAAAGCGTTCACCGTGGTAACAACTGCGTGGCTTAGCGCAAGCTCTGCCCAACTATAATTCCACCCTTAAGACCCGAAGTTTACGACGTAAACTTCCTTCTCGCTGACGGTGTCGGAACCCGCTGATACCGATACTTCGATTCCGAGAATGAGAAAAACAAAGATAGCAGAGAGATGAGAGAAAGAGAGAAAGAAAGAGAGTGAGAGGGAAACCGAGAGGGTGGACTGGAGATGATATCGGAGATTTGTGCGCGAAAACAATTGGATCGACCCGCAAGGGAAATTCTCGGAAGCACAGCAGTTACCAGTAACTACCGAAACGCGTATCTAAAAGTGATGTTACCGGTTCCACGCTTTTTCGGATAACACCGCGGTCGAAGGCAATAAGTGTGTCGCGTTTGCCAAGCAGACCGAAGCGTATCTCAGAAATCCCTTCGAAAAGCAATCTATAAACCATTTCCGCGAAAACTCTGCGACAATGTAACTCTAGAGAAATATCGTGCCTTATAAAAATATTATCCATCAAGTCATCGTTTATGTACGCAGTATGTAATTCGTGGTGTAGAGTACCAAGTACGGTAAATATCGTTAAGACGACAGCCCCATCACTTGTATGTAAATGTTTCTTCAGAAAACTTTCATTTAGAAATTTGTTTAATTAACAAAATAAAATTGTAACCATTGTTAAAATTGTAATCTAGAGCGTTTAATTAATAAATTAAAATTGTAACCCTTTCCATACGGAGCCTTGCGACATTGGATGTTCCGCGAGGCCGGACTCTGTCAAGTAGTATTAGACACTGTTATCAGGCGCGTCTTCTCGCGTAAGTAGAAAGTATCAATCAATGGCGCGGCGCGTACATAATGCATCATATCTTTCGATACTAATATATTATGAAATCAATTCAGATAGTGTTAACAATCTGTTAATAATCTCCTCTTTATTACAAACAGAAATATAAATTCGGAAATGCAGTACTGAAAATATAACGTAAAGTATCTGTGAAGCTATTCGATAAGGAAATTATCGATTTTTACTTTCCTTCGCACGAGAAATTGGTTGGTGTAAAGGCAACGATTTTGCTCAGTTTTGCGTGACTATTATGCTCGCACGATTGGTTATCCATTACTTCCCATTCATCTGTCCCTTTTCAACGGTTTCGAGGCTTTTCGTTAGGAGTCAGCAGGAAAAGCATCGAACGGAAATATCGTATCCATTGCGTCTGTTTCAAACGTCTGTTCTTCTGGTAAACAAATCTGTTAATAATTAAATGCACTCTAGGCAAAATCGTGTCAAAAGTCAAATTATTCTATTTCACGAATCCAGCAGATAAATTATTTCTAAATCAGATCTCTTCTTGTAGTAACATAATATGTACCAATTTTACATTTTGTAACAATTTAATATACAGAAGGGAATTATTGAAACAAGTTGAAAGAAACAGTAAATTTTTCGAGAAAACATGTGAAATGAATAATGGGAGTTAAAGTTTTGTCACTATTATTCATTCGTCGAGTCTTTGGTAAACGCGTCCCCGATATATAAGAGTTTGGAAGAACTGGAAGCATCAAATAAGCTCTGTATACGAACTTTGACACAGGTCAGCAATTTCTTATCCAATTTTTATTTAGTATCGAAGTTGGGGAAAAGCTATTCGCCACAAAGTTGCAAATAACAGAAGATTATGTTTGAGAAACTTCTACTCTCCCCTCTAAAATAGATTTATATCTATATAACTATTCAAGAAATATTTATACGAATGTACATAGCTATTAACGGTATGATAATATAAAAAAATACTGTATAATTAATTATAAAGCATTTCAGTTTTATTTATTCGTGGCACAATTTTGTGTCATATGTAATTTATTACCTCTCTGACAGCGGACCATGAAGAGCGCCCCAATTTTAATTTAATTTCATATTGTTTTCATTTTTTAAATTTTACACTGTTCCTTTGAATATTATTCTTTCGATACATCGCAATTTTTCATTCCAAAATTAGGTATATGTTTTGTAAGTTCGGGTCTCGATTGACCCAGACTCCGATGTTCAAGAGTTAAACATAATAGATGCATCGCATTGTAAATATTACGAGCCACGGTTTTTGGAGTGTTTGTTATAAAAATATGTGAAAGCATTGAAATTCACGGCGCGTTTCACTTACATACCGTCAAATAAAACAGTGTAAACAGAAAAAAATTATAACCCCGCAAATTGCATGTCATAATTTATTCGTCAGAAGGTATAAAAAGAAACCAAACATCAAACATAAATGATGCCATAACAACATATTTCGTCGTATCAACAGAAAGTAAACTTAGCAGGGAAAAAAAAACAAAATCTACCAAGAAAATGAAACGTAAATTAAATTATATTAAATTGTATTTCAAACGCAAAGAAAACATACATGAAAGAAAAAACAAAGTCGTATGTACAGATATCATACGGCCATAGAAAGTGCCATTTTAACCATTTTCTCAAAACGTGGTAATAGACGCAAGCTAGAAAAATTTTGGTACACTTAATGAGTTCCTTCACATACGGCATCGTGCTATTGTTAGGTCTGGTCGTACGGCACATTTACCCTTTAAAAAATCGGAGAAAGGACGCACCGCGAGAAAAGATACAAAGCAATGGGGTTGACTCTGCTGAGCAATATTCGCGCGTATGGAGAAAGAAGTAACGACCACGAAACACCGGATTAACCTTTGGCCGCGTTCTTGTGAGGCGCAGCGAGGAAACAACAGAGAACATCCCAGGACCGCGACGACGTCGTTGACGACGACGTAAACCTCGACGATGAGACGCACGCGCGTGGAATTGGAGTTGAAAGGCCTTGGTCCACGCTCCGGAGGATTCCAAAAGCCCCCGGCCAACAGCCACTTGGCGGAATTCGAAGCACAATGCCAACAACGCGGAATTACACCGCGGAACCGTAATGATAGCGGCTTAATTAGTGCCTCTCTACTTTTTCATGCATCGGACTGCATCCCAGGTGCTACTAAACGGGGACAAGATATCGTATAACGTGTTAAAGATAGGGAACATTGTCAGGCAATTGTCTCCCCTTCATTCTATTCGCAATTTACAAGGAGTAACGAAAATATTCGGGCACCGTTGCTGGA